TTCCACATCAAGCAGATGTTCACCTGCACATCTGCTAATGTGGTATACTGCATCCGCTGTGGCCTCCTCTACATCGGGGAAACCAAGCAGAGGCTTGGGGACCGCTTTGCAGAACACCTGCGCTTGGTTCGCACTAAGCAACTGCACGTTCCAGTTGCGAACCATTTCAACTCCCCCTCCCATTCCTCAGACGACATGTCCATCCTGGGCCTCCTGCAGTGCCACAAGGATGCCACCTGAAGGTTGCAGGAACAGCAACTCATATTCTGCTTGGGAACCCTGCAGCCCAATGGTATCAATGTGGACTTCACAAGCTTCAAAATCTCCCCTCCCCCTACCGCATCCCAAAACCAGCCCAGCTCGTCCCCGCCTCCCTAACCTGTCCTTCCTCCCACCTATCCCCACCTCCCACCTCAAGCCCCACTCCCATCTCCTACCTACTAACCTCATCCCACCCCCTTAACCTGTCTGTCCTCCCTGGACTGACCCATCTCCTCCCTAACTCCCCACCTACACTCACCTTTACTGGCTCCATCCCCGCCTCTTTGACCTGTCTGTGTTCCTCTCCACCTATCTTCTCCTCTATTCATCTTCTATCCACCTCCCCCTCTCTCGCTATTTATTTCAGAACCCCTTTTCCCTCCCCCATTTCTGAAGAAGTGTCTAGGCCCGAAATGTCAGCTTTCCTGCTCCTCTGATGCTGCTTGGCCTGCTGTGTTCATCCAGCTCTACACCTTGTTATCTCTAATCATTTGAAACTATTGTTATTGTCAAATTGAAATTTTTAAATTATTGGTGCCAATTATAAATTATATCAGAATCTGGAAAATTAAATTCAGGCATAATTTCCTGTCTATTAACTTATATAGCAAAATGTACGCAGACTTACAAATCAGAGATCACTGAATTCATAAACACACAAGCAAGACACTATGGATGCTAAAATCTGAAATCAAAACATAAATTGTTGAAAATTCTCAGCATTTCTGCTGACATTTCATAGAATCCCTACAGTGTGGAAACAGGCCATTTGGGTCATTGAGTCCACAATGACCCTCCAAACAGCATCCCACCCAGACCCATGGTCTCCCTATAGCCCTGCGTTTCCCATGGCTAATCCATTTAGCCTGCACATCCCAGGACACTATGGACAATTTAGCATTGCCAATCCACCCAATCTGCACACCTTTGGACAGTGGGAGGAAACCCACACAGACATAGGCCGAATGTGCAAACTCCACACAGACAGTTGCCTGCGGGTGGAATCAAACCCAGGTCCCTGGTGCTATGAGGCAGCAGAGCTAACCACTGAACCGCTGTGCTGCCCATTTGCAGACACAGGAAGTTAATTTTTGAGTTGTGACCTTTCAGCAGAACTGGGTAGTTAGAAACGCAAGTGTTTTGAGCAAGTGAGTGGAGTCAGGGGTGTGGTGGAGGGGATGGGAGATAGAATAAAGAACAAAAAGAAAAGTCTGTTATTGTGTGGAGGGCATGAGGGATTAAGTGACAATTTATTTCCCTGATAGAAGGCCAATGGGAATAGTAATAGCCAAGTGAAAAAACAACAAATGTATCTGGAGGAGGTGTGAATAGCTGGATCCTGAATAGATGTGGTCCAAAAGCAAAGGTAAGGAAATAAGAGAGAAAACCAAACCAGATAAATTGAAACAAAATTTGGACAGACACTACAATCTAAATTTATTGGATTGTAATGTTGAGGCCAGAGGCCTGTAAAATTCCTAGGTGAAAGTTGAGGTGCTTTTTGGGCTGTATTCAGCTTCAGTAAAGAGCTACAGGAGGTAGAGTGGAATGGTGGCTCAGTGGTTAGCACTGCGCCTCACAGTGGCAGGAACCCAGGTTCGATTCCACCTTTGGTGACTGTCTGTGTGGAGTTTGTACATTGTCTGCGTGGGTTTCCTCCCATAGTCCAAAGATGTGTAGCCTGGGTGGATTGGTCGTGCTAAATTGTCCATAGTGTTCAGGGATGTGTAGATTAGGGAGATGGGTCTGGATGGGATGTTCTGAGGGTCAGTGTAGACTTGTTGGGCCGAACGGCCTGTTCCCACACTGTAGGGATTCTATGAGGAGGCCACAGATAGAAAGATCAAAGTGGGAGCCAGCTGGAGAATTAAAATGACAGGCAAATAGAAGCTCAGGATCTGGCTTGTGCACTGTATGGAGGTATTCCACAAAACAATCATCTGGTCTGTGTATGGTCTCCCCAATATAAAGCAGCAAGTACAATATGTTAAATTGGAAGAGGTACAACTGAATTATTGTTCCACCAATTGGAAAATTGAAGTCTTGAACTGTGAGGAGGGAGGATATAAAAGGTGTGCACCAGGGTATCACACAGAGAAGAATCCCTTCAGAATGGTGAAAGTTGAGGGGGAGGAAGATGTGATTGCTGAAAGCATCACAGTGGAGGAGGCAGAAATGAAAGAGGATGACCTGCAAATATTGAAGCTGATGATGTTGAGGGTGGGGACAAGGGGAGCCCATTGATTAATATAGGAAGGAGGGATAAAAGCAGAAGTATGGGAAATAGCATGCACAAAGTCAAGAACCTCATCGACCAAACCCAGTCTTATTCAACCTCCCTCCTTCACCTTTCTTTCTGAGTGGACTTATGACAATCAATGTATCAATTAAGGTGCTTTTTGCTGCCCTCATTCTGAAATTGAAATTTCATGGACTTTGCTCTCAAATGTTAATGTTACCTAGATCTTCTGCATGGTCTATCTCTCACTCTTCCTTTTCCATCCTTAACTCCTCTCTCTTTATTCGTGGGAGTAGATCATTGACCAAAATTCATGATAAGCTCTCACAGATACCTCAACAGCACTTCCTCACACTTTGCTTCCTATAGGGACTCCTCAAGTTCATTCCCTCAGTTTCTTTTTCCTCATGACACTGCAATCTTGCATATTACGCTGACTGTTGTTCACAGGGCCTTTTCACCTTTCTGTTCTATTCACATGGACTTTCTCAATTTTCTTTTTCATGGGCTGCCCAGCAGGTGGCATAATAAACTGTTTGAAAGTTATCGCTCTTGAGATTTGGTTTTATTTTTAGTCCCTAACTCTTTAAACTCTACCTTTAAGATCTTAAACCTACTTACAATTAAGTAATTCAGGCCAGCATAGCTGCTTCATTATCTTTTCTGCTCCTGAACATGGCACCTGCTATTTTGACAGGAGTTGAAGCAATGCATGTGGGTTCCAATATTCACATAGTTTCAATCGTCCACAGACGTAACTTGAACATGTTAAAGTGCAGTGACAAAAATGATGTGATTTTTCATTCATGGGTGGTCTAAAAAATGAATTGTGCATTTATTTTATACCTGGGAGGAGAAAATCTAAAATTATCAGAGCTGCTTTGAGAGGTAAGGTACTCTTTTGGATACGGTCTCGGGGGGATGCAAGTGTCCTTTCAGAGAGGTATATTTCACCTTTTTGTTTTCTTAGAAGTAAACATCGCAATGTGTAAGAAGTGCATAAACTTATTGGAGCTGTCAAGTTCATTCAAGTCAAAACGAGTTATAAAAATAAACAGTCTGCATAACTTTCAAAGGGAGTTGTCAATCTTTCATGGCATTTAAAATTCCTGTAATTTAAATTTTTGAAAACAAAACTGTCTGTTGTGTTAAAAACTCAGCAATTACTGTTAGTTGGCATAAGCTTAAAGCCTACCAGTTGACATAAGTCTATCATTACAGGATTAATACTTCATGACTGATTTCACAGCCTTCCATTATCACAGTGGGAAGCCTACTATTATTTCACAGTTTGATTGACAGGTCCAAGTAGTTATACATTTTCTGACATGAGAGAATGGAGTTCAATGCTTCTTTTTTAAGGAATTAAAGGAAGTTAAATGCAGTCAATTTCTTTTTTAATCAATGAGAGTTTATTTAATATTCTATCATCAATAGACACTTAAGAGCTTTGAGGTTGTAGACTTGCTTGCCGAGCCGGTGTGTTTGGTTGCAGACATTTTGTCACCCTGCTAGGTAACATCGTCAGTGCACCTCCGGTGAAGCATTGGCGTTCTGTCCCACTTGTTATTTATATGCCTCGGTTTGCTGGGGTGGTTGGCATCACTTCTGGTTCTATTCTTCAGTGGTTTGTATATTGGGTCCATTTCAATGTGTTTGTTGATGGAGTTCCGGTTGGAATGCCAGGCCTCCAGGAATTCCCTGGCATGTCTCTGTTTGGCTTGTGCTTTTGTCTGATGTCCCAGTCAAATTTGTGTACTTCTCTGTCCGTGTGTATTGAGATCAGTGAGAAGTTGTCATTTCTCTTTGTAAACATCACATAGGCCAAACTGGAAGAAAATTGGCAACAAGGACACACAAACACCAACTAGCCACAAAGAGACACGACCAATTCTCACTGGTCTGAACACACACGGACAAAGAAGGACACGAATTCATCTGGGACAACACATCCATAATAGCATGAAACAAACAGAGACGTGCCAGGGAATTCTTGGAGGTCTGGCATTCCAAACAGAACTCCATCAACAAACACAATGAACTGGACCCAATATACAAACCGCTGAAAAACAGAACCGGAAGTAATACCAACCACCCCAGCAAACCGAGGCATGTAATTAACAAGCGGGACAGAAGACCAATGCTTCACCGGAGGCGCACTGATGGTGTTACCTAGCAGGGTGACGAAACGTCTGCAACCAAACACACCTGCTTGGCGAGCAAGTCTACAACCTTATCCACAACCCAAGCTATAAATCTTCTCAAAAACTTAAGAACTTTATTTAATCTCAGCATGGGTATTGATATCTGCCAATGTTGCATACTGTGGGCATAGGGCAAAGATGATGGGTGAGGAGCATTGGTTACAATGCATGGAAAATGTGGTGGCTCAGGAATTATTGTGAGTCATGGGAGATAGGTTCACGGAGATATGCTGGGATGGATACTAGAGAATTAACTTGATATTGAGGGTATGAAGGACCATGGGCATGGTACAGAGGTAAGCATGGAGGGCTTGAAGGGCCATAGGGGTGAGAGGGTCATGAAGTCATAGAGGGCATAAGGGATATAGGGATGCCGAGGTGTATTGTTGGGACATGGGTATTTTGGGAGTGACCATGAGGAGTGAGGGCAGGAGTGCTGCGTTTTGTGCTATTGTTTTTTCACAAGGTGTTGATGCACTGAGGCAGGGCCCTTGCTCCAGCCAGTCTCTGCGTAAGAGGTTTACAGAGTAGGAAACCTGTCTGAATAACCCTTTCAGCCTGAGAGATAAGATTCAGGCCAATTTATTAACCAATAGTTCCAACAACTCTGGGAATCTCCATTTGGCTATGCAGGTGGTCAGTCACATTTCTCTTTCTACACAAAATGTTCATGTTGCACTTTAACTTAGATGGTCAATTCTGGAGGGAATGGACTAAATTTTACCAGTCTGCAAGAGGCAGGCTGGGAGGCACAGGGGCTGGTAAAGAAACTAGGTACAAGCTTGGATTGGCTTCTCAAAGTGCTGCTGCCACTGGGGCATTTTACCATTGGTGGTAGTGGAAATGTACAGGCTGCCTAACTCAAGGAGGCAGGCAGCCAGTTTACACAGATAAAGGCCCTGTTAGGAGTCAGTGTATTTTGCTGTCACAGCTCTCTGGCATCTGGGGAGGCACCAGCTACTGGCAAGTGGTCTACTAGTGGTCGAAGGTTTCTCCTCCAAAAGTCAGCCTGTGAATTTTTAAAACACTTTTCTTCGGCTACCTGCATATCTGATGTCTCCAGAATTTATCAGCAGCAATTTATCTCCAAGTGACATTGTAGTCTCTAAGCTGCCAGTCTTGTGACTGGGCGGGCGCCATCTTTAATTGGATGACAGGCTGAAAGGCAGCCAATTAGGAGGCTTTGTAAAATTGTCAAATGGATCTGTCTACCGTAAGTCCAGCCTCAGAACCTCCTTCTCACCGTGACCCCAAGGCCCCCATTCATCAGATAAAAATACAGCCCCAATGATCCCCAATTTCCAGTAGCTCCAAACTCCCACAAAAGAAATCAAAACTCTCTTAGACACTTCACATAAGTTGTCTCACTCACAACTGAAAACAGCCAATCTGAAAATAACTGATCACACCTCTCTCACTTTAACAGTGTCGAGCTGGACCCGAAACATCAACTTTCCTGCTCCTCTGATGCTGCCTGGCCTGCCGTGTTCCTCCAGCTCTACACTGTGTTATCTCTGACTCCAGCATCTGCAGTTCTTACCAACTCTCTTTAACTCATTCCTCATTTCTGATTGAAATGGACCAATGGTTTAGGTACCAAGTTAACATCTTTAAATAGTTCCTAATATTGAACTAAAAAAAAATTGAACTCAATAAATCTGTAAGATAAATAATTGAAAATGTCAGTGGTTATGCCTCACTAAATTTCACTAAATTCTTATCGCAATTCTTCAAAATATTACACTCTTCTGGGCTTCTACACCACAACAACAAATTGAGATTGGGAAACCCCAGCTTGGTATGGTAACTGCTTTGCCCAAGACCACAAGAAATTACAGAGAGTTGGAAACACAGCCCAGTCCATCACAAAAACCAGCCTTCATTCCAGTGACTCCGTCTACACTTCCCACTGCCTCGGGAAAGCAGCCACATCATCAAAGACCCCTCCCACCCTGGTTACACTCTCTTCCGCCCTCTTCCATTGGGCAGGAGACACAAAAGTTTGAAAAGACATACCAACAGATTCAAGAAAAGCTTCTTTCCCGTTGTTATCAGGCTTATCAACGGATTTCTCATACATTAGAGTTGATCTTTCTCTGCACCTTTTCTGTAGCTGTAACACTGTATTCTGCATTCTGTTCTATTACCCTGATGTACTTGCACAAGGTAGGATTTGTCTGCATAGCACGCTAAACAATATTTTTCACTATATTTCAGTACATGTGACAATAATAAATGAGATCAAATCAAAATGTAATTTAACACTATGTTTACATGATAACTATGCTTGTACCAATAATTGGATACATCAGAAAACTTTACGCCTTCTGAAAGAATGAATGCTGCACAATTCACATGGGGTCTGATAGAATAGATTTTCATCCAATTTCCTAGCATATTCTTGTCAATGCTGTCTTAATGTTAGTGATTCGGTCCATTGGAAAATCCACCACCATGATTGGTACAAACAGGGCTGAGGAAGGGTCACTGGACCCAAAACGTTAACTCTGTTTTCTCCTTCACAAATGCTGCCAGACCTGCTGAGCTTTTCCAGCAACTTTGTTTTTGTTCCTGATAAAAGCAGACTATGCTCTAAATGATTTCCACAATATAGTAGGTTATATGTGAGTCAGCACTAAGGAACTGACCTGATAGTCCAAATGGTTATTTTTTCCTTTTGCTGTTCTTGAGTTTCAAAAACTTCTGTGGAATTGCTACTAATTTTACTCACCTTATTTTTTAATTGAATGAGATGTTGTTTTTGAGTAGACAGTCTCAGATGTACTTTGAAGAGTCTGAAAAAGTTAAAGCCATAGAGTACTACTTGCAATATCTCTTTAGTAGTTTTAAAGAACATAGACACATTCATTTTTTTTTAAAAAGACCTGGCAAACGTGACCTATTCTGCTGCAGAATACTGCTGTATATTATCGTCTTGCAACCATCAAATAAAGACCAGGGACATGCCACTAAATGCTGTCATGCGAACGCTGCCAGGGGTGCATAACTCCTCTTTGACTGAATGGATTTTGCTGCTGTCTCACATTGTCCAGCCTCCAATCACTGTGCTACTATCTTGCTCTGTTCGTCACAAACCAACACCAAGCTTCCCATTCACAAAGTCTTGAAATACAATCATGGAAGCACTCTAAAGAGCACTGAAATGGCTGTTAATAGTCATGCAGATGGTGTCAAATTCATATTTGCACTGACAGAATTGGAGAACTCAAGCAACATGAAGAACCAGCACCTCAGCATTGACACAATAGCAGAAGTCTCTGGTTTTGAGCTCCTTTGAAGACAATGGACAGCACTCAACTGAACCTGCATTGTGTAAGTTCTCCATTGGAGAAAGATGAGAGATAACTTTAAATGTGTTTGTGTCTACTGTTTTGAGACCATGGAACATATCATAGCAACAGCCCACTAAGGTCTGTTGCAGGGCACACATTATATCTTTTCGCATTATCTTGGGAGGCCATCAAAAGGATACTCAAACTAGACATCTAATTTTTCCCTCACGTGAAAGTAGAGTACTAGTAGTTATCCCTTTCAATTCCTATTATCCATACTTTGTCTTCCACTCCCCAAACAGTGTCCTAACCAGGTCTAGAATTCCTCAAATCCTTTCAGTTAGATTTTATGCATGACCTACTCTTTTTAAATTTGTATTTGAAATATTAGATCTACATTTGTAATTACTCAATCTGAATCCCTGAATTGACAGACCTTTAGCAAGTTATGACTAAAGCATCTGCAACTTCTTTATTTAAACCCCTGAGTTGGAAAATATCATGTTCTAGGCATTTGCCAATTTAGCATTATTTTATTTTCTATTCCTCTTTCTTGTTGACATTAACTTTGAGGAATTCCAGTCCTTGACTAATTTCCAAGAAATGTCAGTTATATTATCCTCTTCTCTGACACAAGGGGTAGATTTTCATGGGACTGGGGAGACTTCATGGAGTTTTGAAAATGGCAACCCAACTTGATTTTGGGACGAATGTTGGCCAGTCATGTTGCAGCTGTACAGACCTTAGTTTGGCTACATTCACAGTGTTGTGTGCAGTTCTGGTTACCTCACCATAGAAAGGACGTGGAGGCTTTGGAGAGGGTGCAAAAGAGATTTACCAGGATGTTGCCTGGATCAGAATCCATTAGCTATAAGGAGAGATTGAACAAACCTAGACTATTTTGACTAGAATATTGGAGATATGCGAGTCAAGTTTTTTACACAGAGGATGGTAGGTGCCTGGAATATACTGCCAGGGATGGTGGTAGAAGCAGATACAATAGCAACATTTAAAAGGCATTTAGACAGACTCATGAACAGGTGGGGAATGGAGGGATGTGGACCATATGTAGGCAGATGGGATTAGTGTAGAATGGCAGCATTGTTGGTGCAGACATGATGGGCCGAAGGGCCTGTTCCTCTGCTGTATCGTTCTACGTTCTATAATGCAAAAGTCTGAGCCTCCGTTGCAATACAAGTAGATTTCCCAAAAGTCTGAGTATTGTTTTGGAAACTTAGGCTGAAGGTATGCTGGGTCAGCTTGTTGTCATGCAGGCTCACACTACTGCTATCATGATTCTGGAAGTGTTCCAAGGGGTCTGCTACATTTCGTAGCTTTTGACTAATCTGCGCTGTACCAGATCACCAGGATTACAGGGCTACTATTTTGGGGAATGTAGTTCCATGAAACGCAAAACTGGTCCCCTTTCTCAGGATACCAGTGTTCATCCTCCCACCCTTGCCATGACTTCAGTACCCCTCCTGTTGCTTGTCAGTTAGACAGACTGCTTTCAAACATTCCAAAATGGTGCAGTCTGTATCAGGCATAGAGTGGCTCAAAGTCATCCTCCAAAGTTATCTCAGAGATAGTAAGAATTGCCGATGCTGGAGTCAGAGATAACAGTGTGGAGCTGGAGAAACACAGCAGGCCAGGCAGCATCAGAGGAACAGGAAAGTCTGAAGGGTCCCGTTCCAAAACATCAGCTTTCCTGCTCCTCTGATGCTGCCTGGCCTGCTGTGTTCCTCCAACTCCACACTGTGTTATCTCCAAAGTTATCTGTAGTTTTCTTCACCGAAATTGACCAACTTTCCATCACTCTTCTTTATCTACTGTGGTAGCACTCTGTTGGGCTAAGGATAGACAACAGCACCCAAAACAATGTACAAGGGTTTGAATGTGATATTGCATGACTTCTTTTATGTATATGGATTAGAATGTTTATTTTACATTGGCTTTTATTTCACCGTTGCTACAGATCAGTGACACAGTTGATAAGCAGTGTGTAGCTGCTGTTGTGTTAGTAGATGGGAATTGGGGTTGTGGTGTTGGCATCTCATTCACTGAATATCTTTCCATATATGTCCAACGCAGAAAAGGACAAGCAAGACGTTCTACCTCTTTCCTTCTCCTTTTTGCTCTGCCAGTCCAACTCATCCTGCTCCCTGCCTGCTGTTTCAAGCCACAGTTTGACTGCTCAGTGTGTTGACAGCGCTAATGTCTGCTAATGTCTCAATTGATAGCCCTGGCAGACATGAACACACAAACATTTGCCCCCGATAGCAGCCAATTATTGAGTGCTATCAAACCCAAATTCTGCATTCATTATCACTACCCTTCATTCCCGTCCTATCCTTTCTAAAACATTATGGTCTGGAATATTTAACTCCCTCTGGTGGTCACTGCTGGTATTGCATGAAACCTGGAAAGATGAGCAGCACAAATACATGGATAATGGGCTCAATGAAGCAGGCATCCGTGGTGCATCCTATGCTGTTGCTGGTAGAATGTCAGTCGCAGAGGGCTGAGGCCTTTAACTGGCTGTTAACTAGACAGTTGATGGCTTCAACTGGCCTAGGGTGGGTAGACTAACCTTGACCTCCTCCACCCTGCGCTTAACTGGAGGCAGACGGGAATGTGACGCTGCCCATCCCATACCTTCTCACCATATTAATTGTTCTGCTACTGTGACCATTCTCTGGGTAAGGGGAGGAGGTGACATTAAATCCACCCTATATGCTCTTCAATCAACAAATTTGGACTGTGATTTAGCACAGAAGTATTCCAGTTGCACAGGGAGAGTTTGTTATTCAATAGTGAACGCAGTCAGAATTGTTGCTCTCAAATGAAAGCAAAATACTGCAGATAATGGAAATCTGAAACAAACACTGAAAATGCTGGAGAAACTCAACAAGTCTGGCAACATTTGTGGAGAAAGAAACAGAGTTAATATTTCAATTCTGATACGACAGTCCTTCAGAACCCATAAATCATCATAGGTCATCATAGAATCCCTACAGTGTGGGAACAGGCCCTTCGGCCCAACAAGTCCACACCGATCCTCAGAGCATCTAACCCAGACCCATTTCCCTTATAGCCCACCTAATCTACACATCCCTGAACATGGGCAATTTAGCATGGCCAATTCACCTAATCTGCACACATTTGAACTGTGAGAGGAAACCAGAGCACCCGGAGGAAACCCACACAGACACATGTTGCACCATGGTTAAGTACAATGGACCAAGTCAACTACTGACTTTCTCCACCATCAGTAATCCACAAGTCTGACACTATCTCCCTTTCTGTATTGAGGACTTGTCAGGATGCTGACAGCTTTGGCTCTGCTGCACAATAGTCAGCAAACGCTGCACTGTTGAAGTGCTATCTTTAACCTTTGACACCAAAGGTCCGATCTGCTTAAAAAGCCCATGAGACTTTTGGAACAAAAGGAGTTCCCTTGATATTCTGGCCAGTATTTATTTCTTAATCAATGTCAGTATAAACCAGCTATTTGGTCATTACCTGATGGTTAATTGTAAAATCTGGTTGTGCCCAAACTATTTCCTACATTGAAACGGGGACGACCCTTCAAAAATAGTTAATTAGCTGCTGCAAAGTGATCTGGAAACTTCTGAGCTTTTGCAAGGTGCTATGTAATTACATAACTTTTTTCTCTTTCCTACTAGGTTACATTTAAGTTCGGGGCAAGGCGCAAGCTTAAAAAATGACACTTGTTGAACTTTTGCCTACCAAACCAATTGGAAATCTTATAAAAACTATCAGTAACTAGGCGTCTTCATTTGCTTTCTCTAAGCCTCTCTGATGTTTCAAGACATACAGTCGACTGGAAACACTTTTCTGCGCTCCTTCTGCTTCACGAAGGGGTTATACATACCAGCTTGTTGTCAAAATGAATCATAATGTTACAGTAGTGGTCCTGCCTCTGTGCTAGAAGCTCATGGCTCAGGTCCTACCCTGTCCTGGAGGTGTGTCATAACATGTCTGAACATGTTCATTAAAAATAATTTATTTTTGGATTATGGCTATAGATTGTGTGTCTTTTGCCAGGAGATGTTATTTGACTGCCTCTAAATCTACAGGAAATGTTACTTCCAGTTCCTTTGGAGTGAACAGCTAGTTATTGAACCCTTTCCCCATTCATGCCCTAACTTGTCTTTCCTCACCCTGATTCCCAAAGAAGTTTCAACCTAAATAATTTCTAAAGATTATATGCAAGAATTTTCAATGGCATCATTTTAGTTGAAATTTTTGTTCCACACTTTTTTATCAAGACAATAATTTACCTAATGTATCTTATTGCTTATAATGAGATATAAGATTTAAATGTAAGACATACCATTGACTTAAAGTGCTTTATGAAGGCTACCCGTACCTAGAATTAACAGAAAGAAATAAACATTTAAGATTAATTGTGTGCGTAAGAAGCAAAAATGCTTAAATTAGCAAAACAAAGCTCAAAATGTTTTACCTTTGTCTCTGTGATACTGGAAGTTAGTAAAATAAATAAACCCTGAAAGAGAAATGGCTAAACATCATTACACTCCATTATCATTTTCAAAGTTCAGATCATTCTCAAACACTACAGAGTTGTAGCATAGATGTACTTTACCTGAACTGAATTTAAAATAGCAAACGCGTAATGGAGAAAATACGAATTATCCTCAGTTAAGAGAAATCCAATGGCCCAAGTCAATCCAAAAGTTGGAGTAAGAATAAGGACAGCTTTAATGATTTTCTTAATTGTTTCTTTGTCCTCCTTGTTTTTTCCTTCTGATACAGATGGCCTCATTAATTTCACAATGACCACTGTCAGGATAAACATATTGATTCCAATAATGCATCCAACTGGTACGATAAATGTATCAAAGGCAGTGACTTTTCCAAGTGGACTGACATTTAGCCAACATATGTCTTCTCTCTTGTATTTGCCTTTGCTGATGAAGTGTGTCGTTGCAGCAATCACTACCGCCAAGGGGCAAACATAGCCAAGAATAAAAGAAAATGACATAAAGGTTGTCTTGCTCATCTGGTGGAAAACAAAGATAAGCCGATAGAGAAGTGTTAAACTTTGAGCCAATGTCCAAAAGAATACAGAAAGGAAAAAATAGTGGGTGAAAATTGTAGCAATTGTACACAAGGTTTCATTGTCTTTAACAGGTTGAATTGAACCAAGCAGAAAGAACAATTGGGCAAATAACAAAGCAATAGCAGTATTGATGAGGGTTGTATGACGAAAACGGGTGACATTGTTTTTAATGACTGTGTTCCACACAACAATTTCAATAGTGATAAAACATATCAAGGACCCAATGGAAATGGACAATCCTGTGTAGGTAATTTCCTCAATAAATGGAATAATTATTTTCTTTTTAGCCATGAGCACAGTAAATGATGTCAAGTGTGTGCAGGTACAGTTTGTTCCTTTCTCAGTAAAAACTGATTTGCAACCTTCATCTGACCAGCCACCTTCCCCTTCAAAGAGATCATAATTCCAAAAAACACACTTTGCAGTTTTCAGATTGCCTGTTTCTGATCTTGGAGAGAAAGACATGTTGATAGTAATCTTGGAGTTCATGTTCTCTGTTCCACTGTTAATTTTCAATGTAGTTGATTGGACCAGGCTATTTATAAAGTAATCTTTAACATCATTTGGTAGATTGTTTTTTGCAGATAAACTTTGATCTAAGTTCGAATATATGATGCTTGATATTGTGAAAGAGTTATTATTTACTCTATCTTTCAAACTGTTGCTTTCTATCTCTACTGTAGTTGTATAATTTTCAGAAAAGATCTCACGATAACCTTTTGAGGGAACAGTGTTAAACATTTGCCCCTTAAGCATAATGTTTGGAAGATTCAATGTGTAGTTTTCCTCAGGAGATTGAAATGCTTCACTGAATTTTTCAACAGATCTCATCAATATGCTTGAATGGAAGTTGTTTTGTTCTTCGTTATTTATGTCGTTTAGTGTTGCATTGCTTGCTATTGAGAGGAAATCCTGTAAGGAAATAAATGTGACACAATAATATTATACAAGGAGTATTCTCTGACAAATTAGAATGACAAGTCATGGAATAAGAACAAAATCTTCAATACTTCACCAAAAATGCCATGTTTAAATGGAAAATCAATCCTAATTACTGCTGGCTGCATATATACCATTTCATGATTGATTATCACTGATATGAATATTCCAGTTTTTGTTAAATTTATTAAGTTATTGAAAAAGTGGAACTACCAATGCTAAAGATTGAAACACTTTGGTTTTTAATCCTCTGTCAGCACAGTACATTTCCACATAAGGCTATATGCAGAGTAAAGTTTCTCCTACTGATTACTAGCAGCAAGTTTCAACCCTTGTCTCATAATGGTCCTCCTATAACTCCATGGGAGCAACCCCAATTACAATTTTACTCATTGTATTTGAATGTATTGTCAATTAGTTCCAAGTTCAGACAATTCAATGACATGCCGTATCAAAGAATAACAGAATGATAGAGCACAGTAAAGGGCAAAAGAAACCAAGGAACTGGGCCTGCTGGAAATCAGAAACAAAATCAGAAATTGCTGGAGAAACTCAGCAGGTCTGGTAGCATCTGTGCAGAGAAAGCAGAGTTAACGTTTCTGGTCCAGTGACCCCTCTTCAGAACTGAAGAACTATGCACACCTTGAAGAGGTATTACACTGAGTTCTGAAGAAGGGTCACTGGACCTGATATATTTACAGAAAAAGGGCATTTGGCCCATTATGCCTTTTGATTCAAAGCAGTCCAATTATTTCCGCTCACTTTTTTTCTTCCTTGTGTCCAGTTAAGGAGTAAGTTGTCTCTCCTATGTTCAACACCTTCCTTCACAACAAAGGTATAAGTTCTTTTCCATGAGATCACATCTTTCTCCAATTTTTAAAAAAATCCAGTCAATTGTTTTAGAAGCAATGATAAGACAATTAAGAGATAACAAGGTGTAGAGCTGGATGAACACAGCAGGCCAGGCAGCATCAGAGGAGTGGGAAAGCTGATGTTTCGGGTCTGGACCCTTCTTCAGAAATGGTTATCTCTGAAGAAGGGTCCAGACCCGAAACGTCAGCTTTCCTGTTCCTCTGATTCTGCTTGGCCTGCTATGTTCATCCAGCTCTACACCTTGTTAACTGAGACTCCAGCATCGACAGTTCCCACTATCTCTGGATAAGATAATTAACATGACTTTATTCAATGAGGGAAAGAACAATGTCATTAACTATGAAAGCCAAGGAAATGAATAAAAAATGTGTTGTCAAACACATGGTTTTCATACAGTCACGGACAAGCATGCATACAAAGTTAAAAGGGAATAGTGCCCCATTTAAAGGAAGATAACATACAGTTTGTTTAGAATCCTTTCATTCTCTTTAAGGTGTAATATTTCAACCTGAGGCTGAAGTTGATTAGCTGGTTTCTTGAATTGAGTTTGTCACAGTGAAAATTGCAGTTATCAAAATTCTCAGATTCTCAATGACTTTTTTTGTATAGCTGTTTCTGTGAGGATTGGGTGATGACATATTTTAGAGAGAGAGAGAGAGAGAGAGCGACAATCGAGACTTCAGCTTCTTTTCAAGTATCTGCTAACACCTCCATTGAAATACTGGTTCCAGTTTATATTTCTGAGAAATTACTTTGGGACAGTGCGATAGCTGAAGCCTAGCTGGACTTCAGACAGGCACTACGACTGGCTTTATCATTGGAAAACGCGGCAAAGTGGAGCATAGGAGTTGCAGGATATTCCAATGGAAGTGGACACCCTTGCCAGGCTGATTGAGCTTGGGGAACACCAATCGAGTTCCATAGCCTCACTCAGGACATATCCTGATCAGAGGGACACTAGGTCAGCCCACAGCAAAACCCCAAAACAAAGCCAAGCCTCGGACAAATGGTTAAAATTTTCTTCAGGATCTGGGCCAGCAAGCCACTGTAGTTGGTAATGGTATGCAGACTCCAGACAGCAAAGGAATCCTACTGGAATTACTAAGAGGTCTCATGGGGCGGTATTCAGGAGAGTGCGCACCCTGGAAAGTCCACCTACATCTGGTTTGGAACAGTGGAATATCTTAGCAACATCCAAATCAGAACCAATCAAAATAAACATCTGATTAAATGGCCACCAGGTTCTGATGAAGGTCGGTACCAGTGTGGTCATTTCAGTGATTGCAGATTCACTTTGAAGTCCAGCTAGGCTTCAGTTATCGCACTGTCCCAAAGTAATTTCTCAGAAATATAAACTGGAACCAGTATTTCAATGGAGGTGTTAGCAGATACTTGAAAAGAAGCTGAAGTCTCGATTGTCTCTCTCTCTCTCTCTCTCTTTCTCTCTCTCTCTAAAATATGTCATCGCCCAGTCCTCACAGAAACAGCTATACAAAAAAAGTCATTGAGAATCTGAAATTTCTCCTTGTATAAAAACTTACCTCGTGCAGCAAGCGGCCCTCTTGTTTTCAGCGGCAGCAGTGCGAGCCAGAGTGCCGATGGGAGGGTAAGGCAGTTTTTGTTTCTCCCTGTATAAAAACTTACCTCGTGCAGCAAGCAGTCCTCTTGTTTTCAGCGGCGAGTGTGTGGAAGGAACGCGAGCCAGGAAGAAACAGATAAATTCGGGCATTGGGTAAACCCGAAACACTACACATGTAGTGTCTCCCACCCATCCTCCTCCTCTAACCAAAAAATACAGTGTGGAGGTTTGGTAAGGTAAGGCTTTTTTGAAATTTTTCTTCTGGACATCTAGAGTAGAGGGAATGGAAGCTGGGGCAGTTGCATGCTTCTCTTGCAGGATGTGGGAGGTAAGGGTCACTGCTGGTGTCCCCTCTGACTTCACCTGCTAGAAGTGCACCCAACTGCAGCTCCTCACAAACTGTGTTAGGGAACTGGAGCTGGAGCTGGATGAACTCCGGATCATTCAGGAGGCTGAGGGGGTGATGGAGAGGAGTTACAGGGAGGTGGTCACACCCGAGGTACAGGAAAAAGGTAGCTGGGTGACTGACAGGAAGGGGAAAGGTGATAGACAGACAGTGCAGGGATCCCCTGTGGCCGTTCCCCTCAATAATAAGTATACCATTTTGGATACTGTTGAGGGGGGAACCTACCAGGGGAAGGCCATAGCGGACAGGACTCTGGCACTGAGCCTGACCCTGTGGCACAGAAGGGAAGGGGGGAGAATAGGAGAGCAATTGTAGTGGGGGATTCAATAGTAAGAGGCACAGACAGGCGGTTCTGTGGACGCGAACGAGATGAACAGATGGTATGTGGCCTCCCGGGTACCAGGGTCCATGATGTCTTGGATTGTGTCTTCAAGATCCTTACAGGTGAGGGTGAGCAACCAGCAGTTGTGGTACACATCGGTACCAATGACATAGGGAGAAAAAGGACTGAGAATGTGAAAAACGAGTACAGGGAGTTAGATTGGAAGCTGAAGTCCAGGACAAACAGGGTAGTTATCTCTTGATTACTACCAGTGCCACGTGATAACGAGGTAAGAAATAGTGAGAGAGTACAGCTAAACACGTGGCTACAGGGCTGGTGTAGGAGGGAGGCCTTCCATTAAGTGGATAATTGGAGCACATTCTGGGGAAAGTGGGACCTGTACAGTAAGGACGGGTTGCACCTGAAACGGAAGGGCACAAATATCCTGGGAGGGAGGTTTGCTCGAGCTGTACGGGATGGTTTAAACTAGATTGGCAGGGGGTGGGGAACCGGATTTATAATTCAGAGGATGAGCTATTCAGCCTTCCAACAGACACAACAGGAAGTGAGGGGTTTATAAAGAAATGTGGTCGATGGAGCGTAATTGTGGACACAGAGATGGTTTAAGGTGTGTATACTTCAATGCTAGAAGTGTCAGAAATAAAGCGGATGAACTTAGAGCATGGGTAGGTACTTGGAACTACGATGTTGTGGCCATTACAGAAACTTGGGTAACTCAGGGAGAAGAATGGTTATTGGAAGTTCCGGGATTTAGATGCTTTAAAAGAAATAGGGAGGGTGGAAAAAGAGGTGGGGGAGTGGCATTGCTAGACAGGGTGAGTATAGCAGCTACTGAAAGGCCATTCGAGAACGATATGTCTACAGAGTCAGTTTGGGTTGAGGTCAGGAACAAGAAAGGAGCAGTCACTTTGTTAGGGGTTTTTTACAGACCCCCTAATAGTTGCAGAGAAGTAGAGGAGCGGATTGGGAGGCAAATACTGGAAAGGGGCAGAAGTCACAGGGTTGTAGTCATGGGTGACTTCAACTTTCCAAATATTGATTGGAAACATTTTAGTTGTAATAGTTTAAATGGAGCAGATTTTGTCCAGTGCGTTCAGGAAGGATTCCTGACACAGTATGTAGATAGACCAACACGAGGAGAGGCCACTTTGGATTTGGTGCTTGGCAACAAACCGGGCCAAGTGTTAGACCTGTTGGTAGGAGAGCATTTTGGCAGTAGCGATCATAACTCTGTTTCTTTCATGATAGTCATGGATAAGGATAGGTACGTACGGCAGGGTAAAGTTTACAATTGGGGGAAGGGTAATTACAATTCAGTTAGGCAAGAACTGGGTAACATAAATTGGGAACAGATGCTGTCAGGGAAGAGCACCACAGAAATGTGGAGATTGTTTAAGGAATGCATATTGCATGTGCTCGATATGTTTGTCCCTAGCAGGCAGAGAAGATGCGGTCGAGTGAGGGAGCCATGGTTCTCGAGAGAGGTTGAACGACTGGTTTAGAGGAAGAAGGAAGCTTATGTAAGGTTTAGGAAAAGAGGAATGGAAAAGGCTCTAGAGGGATACAAGTTAGCCAGTAAGGAACTGAAGAAAGGGCTTAGGAGAGCTATAAGGGGGCATGAGAAAACCTTGGCGGATAGGATCAAGGAAAGTTCCAAGGCTTTTTACACATATGTGCAGAACAAGAGAATGACCAGAGAAAGGGTAGGGCCGATCAAGGATTGTAAAGGGAATTTGTGCACAGAGCCTAAAGAGATAGGAGAGGTCCTTAAT